CTCCCTCTGCCACCTGCCCCCAAAGCCCGACTTTCCCCTTGCAGGAGCTAGGGATGGGGAGGAAAGAACAGGGAGGCCCTGATATTTGGAATGTTTCTTATCCTGTGTGCACCCCCATCCTTCCTTGGCTCAGGCCCGCTGCTCCCCATCACAGCACCCTCTGGGGCTGTCCTGAAAGGATGCCATGGGGTAATGAGCAACAGACCCTGCCTTGGGAGGCTGCCTTTATGCCTCCTCTTTCCCCCCAATCTCACTGCCAAGAGAGCCATTCCCTGCTCGGCATGTGCAAATCCTCTGCCTGCTCACGGTGAGGCCCAGCTCTGGGGTAAAGCCCCAGTCCTGGTCTGGGAGAGAGGTTCATTTTCCTGCATTGGAACGCCCTTCGATGGACAGCTTCACCTCCTGCGGAATGAAAGAGGGACGGAGCAGTGCGGCCCGTGCCTCCTCCCCTTGCATGCTGTATCTTTGGAAGCTTGGGGCTGGCCAGCAGGCCTGAGCACCAGGCTCCGGCTGCGAGGGCTCTACCATCTGGGAGCCCTCACCTGACGGCTGGCTCTTCCCCTCACTGTCACATTGCTCTCTGGGTCCCAAGACTGTCCTCTCAGGCCTTTCTCGGGGGGGACCCAGCTGGCCTGGGGGAGCACAGCTAGCCTGAGAAACTGAGTTACTGTTCAAGCTCTGTAAACTGATAGAGATGCACACATCTCCCACCTGCAGCCGATGGCAGGGCAAAGAGAAGAGCTGTGCAGTCCGCCCAGGGCTGCAGGAGGACCAGCCCTGGCCATACACAAAGAAGGGGTGCTCGGGGGGCACCTCGATGCTCACTTTGCTCTGCTGCTCACCAACCACAAAATGCAGCATGACAAATCCAGGCCACTGGCTCTCCTGAATGTCCACGACCGTGCTAGAGTCAATCTTCAGCCCCCCGCTCACTTCGGCACTGCGCACAAAGTCCTGGGTCTGGAGGTCCTCCACCCGCTTCAGCTCCCCTGTAGCCAGCTGGATGATGGCGCCTTTCATGAAATGGGAGGGCAAGTGGGAGGAGGTAATGGGGGGTGGCGTTGGCTCCTTATCTGGGAAGGTGGCTCTGGCCTGCATGTCCAAACTTGATGCCACCAGGATCTCCGAGCCCACAGACAGCAGACCTGGGTCAGTTCCAGTGGGCACCAGGTTGCCATTAGCTACAACCACTGCTTTGGGTAAAGGTCTGTGTTTCACCGGTTCCTGATGGGATTGAGGGTAGAACCCTCGGGCCTGATTTTTCTCGGCCATCTCTGCTGGGTTCCTGGCTGACCCTCGCCCCTCACCCTGATGGTCAGGGGTATGATGCGACAGGTTGAGGGGGCTGGGCTCATCCTTCCTCTGAGCTGCCACCACACGATAGTCCTGAGAAGCTAAAGCGCCAACCACCCGCTGGACCTCAAGGTCGGTGTCTGGGGTCCCTCGGTGTGCCGGCACCGCCACCTCTACCCGTGCAGTCTGAGAACCTGAAAACAACTGTCCATCCACCACACATTCTACCACTGGCACCAGTCCCTGGCCTTCACTCTTGCTGTTGGGGGAGTCGAGGGCTTCACTTTCCCGTCTTACTAAGTTTCGCTCTCGCTGTCTCTGTCCGTTGGCAGCGGCTGCTTCCAGAGCAGACTGGCCCTCCTGAGGGGTAAGAATCGGGCTGGCACCTGCTGGAGGGGTTTCATGCAGAGTGTACCCAGCAGGTAGCCTGGACATCTGATAATAAATGGGCATCCGGCCTGGAGCAAGGTCCAGTGGCTGAGTACTCGAGTGATGTGGCAACTGCCCAGGTGGGGAGGTGGCAGAAGGGGCTTTGTTGAATGAGTGGGCTGGGGATGAAGCCTGGGGAGGGGGAGTGGCTCCTTCTGCCAGGAGTGAGGCATATGGCACAAAGTGTGGAAGGTGAGAGGTGGCGAGGTTGGCAGAAGGAGAAAGGAGGGGACTTGGTAGGAAATTAGGTGGCACAGCATAGGGAAGGCTATAAGGAGACCCGATAAACTGCAGAGAGGTGGACGGGAGTTGAGCATAGTGGATTGGGGGATAGTGGATTCCTGGATGTTGAATCAGTGAAGACGCTACATTGAATGTGGGGGGCAAGGGGTTCATGTTCACCACAGATGGGAGGCCAGTTGGGGAGAAGGTAGCAGGTGGCACAGCCACCTTATACAGCATACCATACTGGTCCACCGTCAGACCAGTGATGGCCTCAGCTCCATCACCCCCCAGGCTGACTCTGGCTCCTGCCTGGCTCTGCCCGGCCACCACAACCCCCCGGGACCATTCAGAGGCATCACTGGAGGGTGTGTGGTTAGTTGAGCAGCTGGTAGCTCTCCCCATATCCTCGCTGGTCACGGGGAGGTCTCGTTTCTTTGGTGGAAGGCATTCCTGACTCCTCTCATGAACAGGTTTCATATTGCTTTGTGGTGTTCCTGGAGCCTGGAAGGGGTCGGCTTGCTCCTTGGGACATCAGAAGGGGCTTCTCTGTGGCTCCCCTGCACCCCTCTCTGCTGCTGGCGGGGGCGCCCACATCTGCTAGGGAACAAATCAGAAGCAAAGAAAAGTAACCTAGGGGCAAACCAAGTCAAAGGAAGTAGCAGAAACTGTGCCCACAGAGGAAGATGTAACAATGGGGACTGCTGGGAAAAAAAGGCATGAGAAAGGGGCAAACAAGGATGCTACCCTTCCCTCATTCATCCAGCCCAGGACATGAAAGAAACAGTCAGGGAAACCAAAGAGAGCTACAGGAACAAACATTCAACGACGCGTAAACAACCTGTGGGCTCTACAACCCCAGAGAGACCAACAGCTTCATGATCAGGTGTGCCTCTGATGGGGACCTTGACTCTTCCCAGCCTTCTCCCCGAAAAGGTTTGACCACATGGTTGTTGCTGCTGGTTCTTTTTCCTAAGCTTCTCCTTTTGTCACCAAAGATTACCATGCTATCTTCTTTCCAATATATGACCTCATCCTTGCTTCCTTTCCCCAGCCCAATTCAGGTTATGATCTCACCTTTCCCCATCCCCCCACCCCAGGCCTGGTTAAACTCTCATCCTCCTTTGCCTCATATCACCACTACCTCAAAGACCCAGGTGCCACTGAAAAATAGCGTCTTCTCTGCCCCATGAAATACTACATTCAAACTTGCGCCCTATGGGGAAAGTGATTGTACTAGTGTGTTCTATAATGTATTTGTTTCTCCTCTTCCCTAAAGAGCAACAAAACTCTCCTGACCATACACAGACTTCCCACGTCTGGAAAGACTTCTTTTCTTCTCATTAACCATCTTCAATGTACTTTCTTCATTCATTCTCTTTCTTTTGCCAGTGGTTCCTTTTCCACTGTAGGTCTGCTCTAGGCACCACTTCCTAAATTCTGGTTCCATTCCTCCAAACCTGTCTGGGTCTCTATGATTCATAAGAAAGTTCTCTCCCTCCTTTCTCTTGCCGTCACCTCTCATACATGCTTTTGTCCATTGTCATAAAGTACACTTTTCGTCTGAACGTTTCAACGCATGAACTTTGTCACCTATTTCTTCCAATCAAGGCTCCAGTTCTTTGGATCTGGATATTACACTGTTCTGTTTTTCCACTGCTGAATCCCAGATGGTTTTTTTTGGCAACAAGGTATCCAAATTTCCCTTTATTACCTGAGCTTCCAGTAGTGCCTCTGAGCAGCTGTAGTAAGAAGCAGTGTCCTCCCCGCTGCCTTGGGAGCCTAGAAGACAAAAATAGGAATAAAGTAAGCAGGAGTCTAGCCTCTCACTTCCCCAGTGTCATCAAGGTAATTCTAAAGCCACAAAAACATTAAAGTCCATGAGTCCCTGCCTCATGTTCTGCTCCAGAGGTACCAGCACATTTATCAAGTTTCTAGGCATTTGAATAGAGAAAAAGCTATCTCTTAAGCTCTAATTTGTAGAAAGACATCCCTGAAAAAAATTTTTCAATGTGTGTCAAATTTCATTGTTTTCCTTAACATATTCTTCATTCTCTACCTGTACTTACTCCCCAAAGGTTAAATTTACTTCCAATCCCAATTTCAGGTAAATGTGCAACTAAAAATGGAAGATTCAACATTATTCCCATGTGAACAATGGGAAGCTGGAAAAATCAACTACATGGATTTCACCTTTATTCAGGGCTGATGAAAACACAGATATGGAGGTTATTTAAATGAGAAAAGTGGCACTAGAGGAAAAAGAACAATTATTTATGTTTCTGGGGCAGAAAAAGAGGTCAAGGGGGAGTCACTCAAGGGGAAGCCTTATTAACAGATTTCCAGGGTAAAAAAATAGGATCCTGTGTGTGAGTGTAAAATTTTCTGAGTGACAACTTCGTACCAAGTGTTGAATCAGGTGTGACAGAAAATGAAAATACTGCCTGGGTCCTCATGTAGCTATTAACAATGGGGAAACAAAGCTCACACTAAATTATCAATATCTGAATCTACACATGCCAGGAACATCAAATACTGAAGAATGGAGCCTTAATCTCTGACAACAGATAAAGCAGTACTGACCAGCACTCTGAGAAACTATCCACTTTCCTGTCCAAGTCCTACAGAACTGCAAGCCTCTAACCAAACTGAAGCAACATTTATCTCTTAAGATTGGCAAGGTGTGTATGTACAAGAAAAGGTGATGAGACAGGAAAACAAGGGGGAAAGAAAAATTCTCAGTTCCATAAACACAAATTACATAGTGGGCACGAGTCTTGCATCCCTTCTTCGCCAGCAATTCCAGTAACTGAAAAGCAATTAGCTTTCTCCCCCGTTTGCAACAGAAATTGGGGTCATATCTCCAATCCCTGATCTTTGCTTCCTGCAACTAAAACCTTAAGGAAAACCTGCCTCTAGGTTAGCCAAACACAGTCGAATAAAAGAAATAAAAGAGGCAAGAGGTCTGAGGGAATGACAACAAAGAGCCAAGCCTGTCCACCAGGGTCCAACAACGCAAAACACATTTCGGAATCTGAAACCTCGGCCTCAGGAGAGGCTCGATGAGGACTTCTCAGAGGGAAGATGCAGTTCGTGACCCTAACCGAGCTAACAGGGAAGGGGGTCTGTTCCGGTGAGCTGCCAACGCTGCTAGTCACAGCCCAGAATCAAGAGATTGAACCCAAAATTCAGTGAGGGCGAGAAGTACGCCCGCCAGCAAAGAGTGGAGCTTGGAAGAGACTACGGGTTATGGCTTCCCATGATCCTGCAATCCTTGCTGCAACAAGGGTAGGGCCCGAAATTGGGAATTTAACGTTTAGGGGTGGGGAGTCGATCCTTGAAGCAGACGGACAGGGACAAGGCCCCGCAGGCGATGCTTCCTTGTTTGGGGGCCCCTTCCCGCCCCGAAGACTCGGACACCCCGGTCCGCCGGGATACAGCCGCGGGGGCGCCGGGGCCTGAGGCCGCCTTCTGGGCTGGGCCGGAGAAAAGCGCGCGGGACTCTAGGCGCGGCCTCTTTCGCTCTCCCCGTCCGCGGTTCTCGGGCCCCGGTCCGGCGGGGCAATGGGCTCCAGGGGGCCACTTCCTCCTAAGCTGCGAGCCCAGGCCTGCTTGGCCTCAGTGAGGCCGGCCCAGCTGCCCCCACTCCCGGCGACACTCACCGGCCCATCTCACGGCGCTCCTCGGGCTCCTCCCGCTCGTCCCGGAGCCGCCGCAACCGCGGCCGCCGCCATCCCCGGCCCCGGAGCCGCCCCACACCCAGCGCCCCCCCAAGCCGGGCGCCCGGAGATGGCGTCAAGTGCGTTCCGCCCCCGTCGCGGGCAGATGGCGTCACCGCCTAGGCCCAAGAGCGACGCCCAGAAGTACCCGGGAAGGGAGGGAGGCGGCCCCTAGCCCCTCGCCCCTCGGCCCCAGCGCCCCCTGTGGTGGGAAAACGAACTCCTCCCCGGGGGAAACAGGGTCACGTGAAGAAGTTTGGCCGGCCCTCTCGCCCTGACCCCACCATGACCCCTGCAATCTCTCTACTCCAGTAAATTCTGGGGGTTCCCAAACAGAGCCCTGGGGCGTGGCCAACAGCCACCCTCATTTCCTGGACTTCCAGGGCCTGACAGGTGAAGCCTCCTCTTGGGAACCTCGGAATCCCCGAGGCGATCCCTGTCCAGGAAAGTAAGAAGATACCCCTGGAGACCCAGGGTGGAGATGGGGGAGTTCTTTGAGTTGAGAAATGACTTTGACGGGGATGAGAATGGACACGATCCAGGATCCAGGGGAAGGTGAAGCAAGTAGTGGGAACTTGAGGGATGAGAGGAAAGGGTTCAGTACAGTGGGAAGAGCTTAGTTTAGTGGAAGAGGGCTTGACTACTCGATCAAATATTAGGTCACCATTCATTGCCAATTAACTAGTCAACTTCATAGTAACATGAACATCTGATTAACCATAAATGAAAAAGTGAACACCAGTCGAATTTGTGATTTGATTACAACTATGTAAAAAAGGGAGTTCTGCATACAGACAGAAACAAGCTAAACTGAGGAAAAAAATAAGTTTAACTATTAGAGAGATTGGATCTGAGTGGATTTTTCCCCTTTCACTTTCTGCAAACTCTGTTCACTAAATAACAATTGATTTTTGTTTGATTTTAAAAATAGTGACTGGGCTCTGGTCCCTACTCTGACCTTAGGAAAATCATTTTACTACTTTAGACTTAGGTTTCCACTTCTGCAAAATGAGGAACTTAAATTAGATGAAGGGGTGGAAGTAAAATGTAGATTAAAGAGATCTCTATAAATATTTTAAGTGAAAATATAAGCAAATATGTACAGTGTGATATCATGTATTTAATGTGAAAATCACATGTAACATATGAAGACATATTTATGTATCAGTACAGAAAAGGAATGGAAGGCTATGTAACAACTAGTTAACATCAGTTATCTCAGGAGAGGAAAGTGGCATTGGGTGGTGACCAAAAGATACAAAAGGGACTTATTGTTTGGATTTCTTATGAAAATATTATCTTAGAAATATTAAGATGAGTAAGTTAAAATACAAGTAAAGTATATGGTCTCTAAGATTCTTTCTAGGGAATCAGTAGACCTCAATTTTGGTATTTTCTCACCTGGATGGGCACAAAGGATCATTAAAATCATTGAATGCCACCACACACACACCTTGCACCAGTGTGTGAAACAGTGAAGCTACTGATCTGTAGCCATCTAAATCAGCAGAAGGCTGTGCTTCGAGGATATTAGTATTATTCATGACAGTCGTCTTCTCTCTCAGTTTGGCCAAGGAGGAAGTCCTGTGGTCACACAGTGATTCCGTTTTAGCACTAACTGGCATTCTGGCTTCTAATCCATTGCTTAGCTCACTAAATTGGAATTAAAACTATCAAGATTAAAAAAAACTGCCAAGATAGGTAAGCCTATACTATTTATTTATTTATTTATTTATTTTTAAAGATTTTATTTATTTATTTGACAGAGAGAGAGAGAGCACAAGCAGGAGGAGCAGGAAAGGAAGAAGCAGGCTCCCTGCTGAGCAGGGAGCCCGATGCCAGACTCAATTCCAGGACACTGGGATCATAAGGTAGATGCTTAACCAACTGAGCCACCCAGGCACCCCCATACTCTTTTTTTAAATCAAAATGATATACATACTGCTGTCTTTGCCAATTTTTTCCATATCAATAAATTAAAAAAAAACAACAAAACAACCTCTGCCAAGATAGAGACCCTTGTATCAACCAGGATATCCATTGCCTCCTAGACTAAGATACGCTCTCAGAGAGCTGGTGTTTCAGACAAAACTGAGAGAGCAGACACAGGTAGATGCAAGCAAAAAGAATTTTTTGGCTACCAGCCATTAACGTGATTACATAGTGCAAAGGCGTGTCTGATTTAAAAACAAAAAAAACAGGATGTTCTGATTGGTGAGACACAGGTGATTTCCTGGTTTGGTAGAAACCAAAACCAGGTTCTCTTTTCGGCAGTCCCAAAAGAGTGGGTCATATCTCTGCTGTATTCTCTTCTAGGACTCTACTCCAAGCAATCTTCATTTCTTTGATTGTACATATTGACGTAGGAAGCTCCATAGTGACAGTTTGAAAGGAGTATTAGTAATAAGTAACATAGAGGGGCGCCTGGGTGGCTCAGTTGGTTAAGTAATAAGTAACATAGCTTTTAGATTTAAGACACTAAAATAACTAAAAGTTACCTCATTTCTCCAAAAATCTGTATTATTCTCTGGAACCTGGATAATTCCCTATGTAAGTTATTTATAGTAAGTAAACCCAGCGTCGTATTCATTGTAACTGGCTCAATAAATAGTTGTTGAATGAAATTTCACAAAGATATCTCAAACTGGGAGACTCTCCTTGCTAATTTTTTTGCTCCCATTTCCTCATTTCTATTCTTACATAGTTTTGCCTATTTGTTACCTGTTTTCAGTCTCTCTCATCTGAAAATTCCTTCATTTTCTTTCGCCAGATTTGTTTGTTTAATTTCCATGGCGTTTTAAGAACTGATAAAGTGAAAGGAGATTTCTTTCATTTAAAAAAAAAATTCCCTGCCCCATAAAAGGAGATTTTTAAAGGTATTTGAGACATTTTGGAACTGAAAAGTTATACTTCCATCTGTTTTGTCTACCTCTTCTCTTTCCTTGGATTCCCACTGAATTCCTTTGATGTGTGTAGATTGAATTTGTGTGATGGGAGAGTTTGAGCTACTCTGTTGAGAGGAAAACAACAATGACCACAAAACCCTGCTGAGCTGGTTCTTCTTCTCCCTAATCAGGCACGAGTTTCAAACCAGCTCTCTGTGTTGTCTATTTCCTCATTGGTGATTTTTCTAGACCTGTCGTACAGGCAGGGGACGTTCAGACAACTATCCCAACTCTTTTTTGACGTTAAGGGATCAAACCAGGGAGAAGTGCTGGTAATTTGGGGAACCATGTGTGTCATAACAAGAGGAATAGGTGGTTTTTTTCATACTGTCATGTCTTTTTGCTTGTATTGCTCAGCATGTAAAGGTGTCGCTGTAGGGGAGAACTTTATCTTTGTATGCCAATGGCAGAAACAACAATCTCAAGTATAGGTTGAAATTCTAGGAATACTTGGCAGATTCAGCTTTCCAAGACATGTGTTGGTGCCTGGTATTAGATTATTTTTCAAAAGCTTTTCTAGATGTCCAAATGTAGAAATGTGCAGTTTTCAAGCTTCTATTCTATCTACTTTTCTGAACAATTCTGTGTCCTTATTTCCACATGCTTTTAATGTTCTGTGCCCTCTCCAGATTCCAGTGGGGATCTCCCTTTCAAATTCATTAATATTTTATTTACAAGGAGGTCTTGGAATTTCTCCATAAGTGACTAATACATCCTTTGGGGAGGGGAATCTCTATCTGCTGTCTGCTTCCTCAGACACTTGCCAAAGACTTTCATTTTTATCAGAAACTTCCTGCAGAACTCTGAAAAGTTGCAGTCAGAACACTGACGATTGGAATAAACTGAAGGAAACCTAACCCTTATTTGAATTGTAAGAGTCCTAACTGGGGAATTGGGCCACAGAGAAGGAAATACATTTAGGCCATTGCTGAGCAGCCAGGAATTCCTTACAGGGGACTAGTGAATGAATAAAGTAGATGTGGTTAAATTAATGCCCCCGTGACATTGATAACTCTTGCTCTGCGAAACTGGCTCAGCAAGGTGATTTGCAAGCTGCTGTGCCTTGTGGTGAAATCGTGTTCATTTCTGCCTTCCAAGCTGATGACTTCAGGTCAACCTGCAACTAGCTGTCAATCGCCTAAAACTCCTGGAAAAAAGGAAAAGTGAGTAAATACTCCAGACAGCATAACAAGCTGCCTCTCATCACTGAGCACTACCCTCCCCCACCCCAGAGATCTCCTAAGACGTTAGTTAGCAATTTTGGAATTCAAAGGAATGTGCCTGACTTGTGGGAATGATGATTATAGTGATCAAATCACTTAAAAGTTTGCAAAGACTGTTCTGTACCTTGATGGTATCAATATCAGTATTTTGGTTTTGTAAGATGTGATCCCTGCATGAAACTAAGTAAAGGGAACCCTGGATCTTTCTGTATTACTTCTCACAAACTGCACCTGAATCTACGATGATCTCAAAATAAAAAGTTAAATTTAAAAAAAAAGTTCCCAAAGACTTAAAATATAAAACAATGTCCAGATTACTGGACTCTTCTTCACCAAATCAGAGAACTTGATCTAGTCAGGCCTTTTCAAATGGGCAGTAGCTATTAAATTTGAGCTGCTGGGCAAATTTTTCTGGAAGGGCTTCCTTACGTGTTTTTGAACACACCAAAAAAAAAAAAAAAAAGCTATTTCTTCTATCAGGTGACAGCTCAAGTAGTGAATGTTATACCCATGAGCTAGAGTAGTAGCTGACAAGTGTTGTCTTCTTTCTTTAAATCCAACCTATTTTCTGTTGCCTCTTGCTCTTTCTCATTTCAGTGGGTCACATGAGCTGTTAAGCCCTCAAAAAACTGAAAAACCGATGATCTCTGATTATGAGGAGGGTTCAGGTAAAATAAGTATTGCTTGTGTGTGCAGTTTTCTGAGTGCCCCATAAATAGCACTATTTACTCTTGAATTACTGTGATCTGTCAGTGGAGAGGCAGCTATTACTTTAACTTCCAAATTGATTTTTGGGCATTCTTTAGAAAATTAGGGCCTAAGAAAAATACCTTAAACAAATAAGATTTAGGCAAACCCAATGGTACCCATCATTGTTACCATGAACCATGATGATGACATTGGTGGTGTACACAGAACTTGTGAATTTTATTTTATTTTTTTATTATTTTTGTTTTAAGATTTTATTTATTTGATAGAGAGAGACACAGCGAGAGAGGGAACACAAGCAGGGGGTGTGGGAGAGGGAGAAGCAGGCTCCCCGCTGAGCAGGGAGCCCGATGTGGGGCTCGATCCCAGGACCCTGGGATCATGACCTGAGCCAAAGACAGATGCTTAATGACTGAGCCACCCAGGTGCCCCAGAACTTGTAAATTTTAAACTGCATGCCCAAGTGTCCTTTTATTTGATCCTGGCAATTCAGTGACACATATAATTATCCAGAGAAATTATATCCTCTCTTTACAAATGAAATGTAAACTTGGAGTGCTGGAGTGATTTGAGGTAAGTAAAGCAAATTAGCTCTTTTTTTTTTTTTTAAAGATTTTATTTATTTATTTGACAGAG